TGGCGAGATGTCACCAGCGGAGTCCCACGGGGCTCAGTACATGAACCCATCCTGTTTCTAATATATGTAAACGATCTTTCGGAGAGTATAGACTCGTTCCTCTCAATGTTTGCTGATGATGCAAAAATTATGAGAAGAATCAAGACAGATGAAGATAGACAGAGACTACAGGATGACCTTGACAAACTTGAGGAATGGTCTAGAAAATGGCTGCTAAAGTTCAACTCAGGAAAGTGTAAGGTAATGAAATTAGGCGAACGGAGCAGGAGGCTGAACACAAGGTACCATCTGGGAGGTGAAATCCAGCAAGAGTCAAATAGAGAGAAAGTCCTGGGGGTTGATATCACGCCAGACCTGTCATTTGAAGCCCATATCAAGAGGATAACATCAGCGGCATATGCCAGGTTGGCCAACATAAGAACGGCATTTAGAAACTTGTGTAAGGAATCATTCAGAACTTTGTATACCACATATGTCAGACCAATCCTGGAGTATGCAGCTCCAGTATGCAGTCCATATCTAGTCAAGCATAAGACTAAACTGGAAAAGGTTAAAAGGTTTGCCACCAGACTAGTACCCGAGCTGAGAGGTATGAGCTACGAGGAGAGACTACGGGAATTAAACCTTACTTCGAAGGAAGACAGAAGAGTTGGGGGACATGATCAACACATACAAGATTCTCAAAGGGCAGATGGCAGATAAAGACAGGCTATTTAACACAAGGGGCACACGCACTAGAGGACACAGATGGAAATTGAGTGCCCAAATGAGCCACAGAGATATTAGAAAGAACTTTTTCAGTGTCAGAGCAGTTAACGGATGGAATGCATTAGGCAGTGATGTGGTGGAGGCTGACTCCATACACAGTTTCAAGAGTAGATATGATAGAGCCCAGTAGGCTCAGGAACCTGTACACCAGTTGATTGACAGTTGAGAGGCGGGACCAAAGAGCCAGAGCTCAACTCCCCCCCCCCCACAATCACAACTAGGTGAGTACACACACTAATTGACTTATTTACATACGCGTAGTTCATCTGTTTCCAGTTCCAATCATCCCTGAGACAGGCTGTCCTTGTCCACATTTTAAAATCCTCTAAGTATCTCCTACGTCGTGATCATATCTTCTCTAGTTCTTCTTGCATCCTGCGATAGGGGATTAAGGTCGTTTGGTCCATCCTAGTAGCTCAGGTCTCGTATTTTGTACATCAAACTTTTAAACCTTGTCAATGTTCATTTAGATGTCTATGCTGTTCTACAATAATGTTCATACTTATTTACTGCAGCACCAATCAGTGGACGGATGCTAGGAACACGGGGTCTCGGTTAGTACAGTGGGCTTCGGTCTTGATTCATTATCGGGGATCCCGGGTTCCATTCCCAAGCGTAGCAGGAATGGTTAGGCATGTATCTTTTCACCTAATGCCCCTTCTAACCAAACAGTAAATAGATACCCGGGAGTTAGGCAACTGTTGTGGGGTTGCATGCTAGAAAGAGTCAATGTGACCTCGATCTGAGCCTAAACTGGGATGAATGTATCGCCTCTCTGGTTTTTCCCTCAAATACTGATATAATTTGATCATTTTGCAACTGGTTATTGTAACAAACTAGGCTGGTTGTAAGAATTATTCCAGAAGGTTCCAGAAGTTTCGTGTAGGGAGCTGACCTCAAAAAAGAGAAATCCCTTGTCTTGAGTCCCTTGTAGAGAATAAAAAGTAAGAATACGGGTAGAGGGGGAAAAGAAGAAGGAAAGATCATTAGAGAACACCCTCCCCGTGTTACATTATAATGGTCAGTGGTTTACACAGTTCACCCGCCAACTCCTTTAGTATCCAGGGTGATACAAGGTACTTGCTGGGGAAAGTAAATAGGAGCTGCTTTTGATCAGTCAGCCTTGTTTAGTTCCCATATTCCTATTCAACCAGAGGAACCTTATGTTTGGTATGTAAACATTTGGTATATGAAGTCCAGTCAATTATACTTCAGTAACCCCTTTGAAACTTGCGGTGTTTCTGGTTTTGTGGCCAGAAATTGTGAGTAATGAAGAATATGAATGTTTTGATGAATACAGAAAAATACGGATAACTGTTGGTAACGTGTTTATTGTGATATAAAGTATACATACGTTGTCTTGTGCGGGTGTGTGTGTGGACAATACACTCAGATCCCACAATACACTCGGGGTTTGACAATACACTGAAGAGTCACTCTCGGACCTACACTACACTCTTGGCCTTACAAACTCCAAACCTTAGTGCTTTCTCCTGATAGTTTTCTTTCCTTTCCCAAACTTAAGCCCAGTAACTGTAGTTATATAAACTGGTTCTTGCCCTTGTCTTCATGCTCTGGACGGATTCATTTAGCGTCAATGAACACCTGTGATTCTTAGGCATGGTCATGCAGCTGTGAATTTTAAATTAAACACAGCTGCAAATCAAATTCAGCTGTAGTTATCTCTTCAAGATACAGCTATATATTATCAGGTCAAAATAAAATTATTGAATTAAGTCAGGCAATTAAAGCAATACACATAATCAGGTACATTTATATGACCTTGTTATCCTCAACTTAAAGCATTGCAAATCCTCAGTATGACGTTTTATAAGCGACTAATCTTTAATGCCTAGTCCAATATGCCAGATGCCAGCACCAACAGTGAGCCATCACAACGCTGGAAGACACCCCACAGGGCACATAGTTTGATTCTGTATAATCTTTTCGAACATACTCGTCTTTGCTGTCACCTCATATACCTACAGTCACGTCGTAAACCCGGAATTAGACACTAAACAAGGGTTCGAATCCAAGACAAGGTCAGAATAAAGGCACTGTGGAAAGACAATATACCTAGAGAGGATCACCAATTGGGACGACCTACAGAGGATCACCAACTGAGACGACCTACAGAGGATCACCAATTGGGACGACCTGCAGAGGATCACCAACTGAGACGACCTGCAGAGGATTGCCAACTGAGACGACCTACAGAGGATCACCAACTGAGACGACCTACAGAGGATCACCAACTGAGACGACCTACAGAGGATCACCAACTGAGACGACCTACAGAGGATCACCAACTGAGACGACCTACAGAGGATCACCAACTGAGACGACCTACAGAGGATCACCAACTGAGACGACCTACAGAGGATCACCAACTGAGACGACCTACAGAGGATCACCAACTGAGACGACCTACAGAGGATTGCCAACTGAGACGACCTGCAGAGGATTGCCAACTGAGACGACCTGCAGAGGATCACCAATTGGGACGACCTACAGAGGATCACCAACTGAGACGACCTACAGAGGATTGCCAACTGAGACGACCTGCAGAGGATCACCAACTGAGACGACCTACAGAGGATTGCCAACTGAGACGACCTACAGAGGATTGCCAACTGAGACGACCTACAGAGGATTACCAACTGAGACGACCTACAGAGGATTACCAACTGGAATTCATGGGGACAATCAGATCCTATGTACAGGAGGTGCTAAGCACAGGGTTCGATTCCCTACCATTGAAAGCTGTGTGTATCGTTTGGTCTAGGCTGGATTAGGCTGTGCTAGGTTAGGTTGCGTTGGGATAAATTTGATTTGTTTAGAGTCGACTGGGTTGGATTAAGTTAAGTTTGCTATTTTTTTTGCTGGTTTAGGCTAAGTTGTAGGTTAAGTTAGGTTAGGTGGGTTAAGTTAGGTTAAGTAGGTTAAGTTAGGTTGGGGATGGTTTAAGTCAGGGGAGTTTAGACTGGACTTAGTTAGGATGAGTTACTTAGGTTAGGTTAGGTAGGATAAGTCAGGTTGACGACCTGTCTTAAGTACGAAACCGCTTATATATATATATCCCATAACATCACCTCACAGTGAATAGCTTACAGACCGTCAACTCTAACAGCCCCATTGATCAAACATAGTACCGAAAAGCACTCAATATAACGTACAGTGTACAGCTTCTTGTCTCTTAAAACAAACTACAAACGCCTCGTGACTTTTAATAACGGGTGAAAAAAAAAATACCTACATACTAAAATCACAAGAAATATTTGCTTGGTGACACTTTTGAAAGACAATAGAGAGTGGGTGAAGTTGCTGTTGAAGTGTTGACACACGAGCACACGCAGTAGAGACAAGATCTTGCAGTCACCCCTGTAAAGCTCTCAAACCAAACACATAACACGTTTAATATGATGAATGTGGTTCTCCCATGGTGGTTCCTAATCACCCATGCTAAATGGTACACATTAAGGCAGTCAACTCTTCCTTCACAAATCTCTTATTAGGCTTTATGGTTAAAAATTGATATATAATTCTATGGTTAATATGAATTATATTTCAAATTATAATATAACTGAATTATATTATATATATATATATATATATATATATATATATATATATATATATATATATATATATATATATATATATATATATATATATATATATATATATATATATATATATATATATATATATATATATATATATTTTGTGTGTGTGTGAATGTGTATGTAATAGTAGAGCACATTTATATGAATGTTTTCAAATCATAATACCATTTTAGAATCCCTGCATGACTCCAAAAGTGAACACATACATATTCCAACTCAAAATATATATACAAAGTTATAACATATAGCATCAGTTCAGTGAGAATATACCTTAAAGTTTACATTCTAATAAATATTGTGCGACAATCGTTCGAGAACCCCTGTACACAGACACACAACATTATTCTAGCATGTTGTGATCACAACAGAACATGTTTAGCGTGTGGGAATTCAACAACACTTTTCCCAGGTGAGTAACCTTCATATTTTTAACACTGCAATTGCTTAAAGAATTGTATATTGAGAGCAAGAGAATAATTCAATAATTCAGCATTGGACGACATCAAGTTGGTGAGTATTAGTGAGTATTATAATATGAAAGATGTATATATATATATATGCATGTATATATATATATATATATATATATATATATATATATATATATATATATATATATATATATATATATATATACTAGTACTATGAAACGGAATATCGGAAACAATAGTTGCAGAACTTTCCTCAGTCAATATGAACAAAATCTTCAGGAATTATTGGTAGTGATTACCTAACAATTTACAACAGTTTATCATGAAAATTAATTTTATTTCTATTTTACCCTCGTGGTTCGGTGATGCCAGAGTTTGGTCACAGAATATATAATTGATGATGATTACATGTAGTATATACCTCGGGGCTCTACATATACATATATATGGGGGCCTTCAGTTGCATTTGTAAAGCCTTCAGAAGTGACTAAAGAACATTATGGAGATCCTTGAAATTTTTTTAGTTTTTCAAATTGTGCAGAAATTCTGTGGAAATTTTCTTCTTGAAGGTTTTTTGTGAGTATTATAAATGTTATAATTGTTGTTGTTGTTGTGGTGAAAATTCAGCTACTCGGAACAAAAAGTTCCAAGTAGTACGGGCTATGGTGATCCCGTAGTGGACGTAATTTTTGGTGAGTATTACAAGTGGCCGTTGACGAGCCTATTGTTCCCCGATGACCTCAGCCTTGAGTCTCTCAGCTAAAGCCCTCCTCACCTGTAGGGTCTGGGGGTCGATTGTTGAACCATCCAGAACCTGAAAATGGTAATCCCAGATTTACATTGGATTGACTCGAACCTCATTAATAAATACTGGAACACGCAGGGTAAATAGACAGTTATCTTATCTTGAGGTTATCTTGAGATGATTTCGGGGATGTCCCCGCGGCCCGGTCCTCGACCAGGCCTCCACCCCCAGGAAGCAGCCCGTGACAGCTGACTAACTCCCAGGTACCTATTTACTGCTAGGTAACGGGCATTTCAGGGTGAAAGAAACTTTGCCCATTTGTTTCTGCCTCGTGCGGGAATCGAACCCGCGCCACAGAATTACGAGTCCTGCTCTCTATCCACCAGGCTACGAGGCCCCCTCGTAGGCTAGCCCCCTCCACGAGGCTACGGTTGGGTATATATAGAAGAATTCAATCAGGAAATAAGTTTTTTTCGGGTAATTAATGAGGAGGGTTTCGAACCATGGCCTAAAAGTTTGCTATCACTTCATTAGAGATTCCTTTAACACACTGTGGACAAAATATATATTTTTGCATATAACATTGTACTATTAAACTGGTTGAATTTGTTGTATAATTGCTACACGTAAATCACTTGGCTCCAAAATGGCATCCTTGACAAAAAACTACATAATACCATTATTATATCACGCCATGTGTAATGGACCATGCACTGGAGAACATACGGAGACCTGGACAACGGGAGGAATTAGTTCAAAATGAACTTTGTGTGTTACACTAAAAACCAATATGAGAGAACACATCGCCCCGTGAACTTACGCGAGGAATTAGATCAAAAAGACCCACCTTGCGCGCTGCCCGGGACGACTTGGGTCTCTTCTGTGGAGCGGACTCCTCGAAGGCTGCCAGTTGCTTCTCCCTCTCCTCCTGCTTCAGCGCCAGAAGCTTGTCTCGCTGGGCCTTCAGGTAGTTCTGTCGTTTCACCAGCTCCTCTGGCGAGACTTCGGTACTCTGGAAATATCGTAAGTATTTTCCTGTTACACCGTGAGGCGAGTTGGGGTTTCGTTGGTAGTTTGACCACCTCTGTTGACCTGGTGAGATTTGAAGTTAAATGTTTTGTATAATCCTTAATCTTTTAACACCTGTGTGTGTGTGTGTGTGTGTGTGTGTGTGTGTGTGTGTGTGTGTGTGTGTGTGTGTGTGTGTGTGTGTGTTGTAACACCCAGGACCTCCCCCCCCCTCAGAGTTCACACCCAGGGAAGCCTTCTCCAAGAGGTCAGCCCAGATGACCTCCGGTTTATCTTGTATATTGATTAAAAATTCCTGGGTTAGTCTTAGTCAGCATAGTTTCAAGTATGTAATATTTCATGCAAGGAAATTAGACTCCAGATTCTTATGTGTAAACATCCCTGGATCTCCCCCTTTTGGCCAGGTCAGAGGTCAGCCACACACGTAATTAATAACTCCTCTCTTGAAGAGTGTATGGTGAATGTCAAACAAGCTTATTGAAATATTTCTTGAGTGTTTGTACACTTTTGGTGGGTAGCAACAGCAGATCTCCCCCTCCCCCCTGTGGGGGTTGTATATAGAGGGCCTGTAGGAACATAGGAAGAGCAGAGTGCGGTACACCGGGATCGAGAGCGGGTCTGTGAAGAACATCTCAGCCCGGGAGAGACAGAGGTCTTAAGGTAATGTGTGTGATCTCTGAGGTTTTGTTCCATGTCCAAATTTCTTAACTTTTTGCCAGTGTTAGAGTAGCATTTATAAGTGGTGATTGACATAATTTGGTCTCAATAAACTTACGTGAAATTTCCCGTCTGTGTCAATTGTTGAATCCTCTTAGCCTTTTGGATATAGTGGCTGACAATCGTTTTCATAATTAATGACAGTCATAGAAGTACTCTCCAAGTCAAGCAATGTTTCTTGCCTCGTTGCTTGATATAGTTTCAATGGTCAAAGGCAGATGGTGGCAGCGTATTTAATCTCTGTGTTAGCATTTCCTTATTGGCAGTGTACCTTTGGTCCCGGTGTAACCATCATATGTCAGCTCATAACAGTGTTATCAAGTGCAACCGATGAGGAAGTGTTACTCAGGATAAGTAGTGTTTACATTAGTAACCATTTTTTTTGTGTTCCATTATAGTGGTACACTTTAGGGCGGTGTTACAATAGAGTGGTGTTACAATGGTGGCAGCGGTGGTCCAATAAATTGTGGGTGTGTTCACACTTTATTGGAGTCCTGCGCGCCGGCGGCTGCTCAGTTGGCCACGTCGTTGTTTGTTAGTTTAGGCGGGCTCGCGATTTCGTTGCTCGGAGCCACACGTATTTTAAGTGTTATGATTAGTGCGACATACGGGAAACTAGATGAAAAGTTTGGGGTATGCGCGTCGCTCTGAAATCTATGGACAGAAATTAGTTCTCGTTTCCCTTCATAGCTTCTAGGGGTGTACAACCCAGTTATAGGTTGTACAGCAATCTGCAGGCAGGATATGTCATTGTTTCATAGTATTCTGTAGTGTCATGTATTGTAATTCGTGGTTGTATTATGTAGCCTTGTGTTATTCCGTGTATTTTGACATTATATTATCTTTAGTTACTTGTAATTTTCCGGTTCCATTAGGAATTTTTTTATGTCATGCTAGTTTTAAGGCGATTTTTTTGTTTTGGTCTTCCAGCCTTCTGAGGGAGCCTTGCTGGACTGCCTCGGGTGCAGTCGGGATTTGTTTTTTTTCATTGATACTTTATTGTCATATTAGGATATCGGAATCGTATCATGTGTGACGGTATCATTGCTTGTACTTGTGCCAAGGTATTTTTTTTTGTACTTTTGTTTCTTTCATTATACATTTATGTTTTGTTCTTACAGCAGTATAACTGTATAATGTACTTTGCTTCATGTTAATTTAGTTAGCTTACTTTTATCATTATGTCACTGGCAATTTTTTTTTTTTCTTTTAGGGTTAGTTGTGGTATTTTGGATGAGTTAGGATAAGACAAAATTGGGCTTAATTATCATACACCCGATTTTGTCTTAACTCCGGGGAAAGGGAGCTGTAACACCCAGGACCTCCCCCCCCCCCTCAGAGTTCACACCCAGGGAAGCCTTCTCCAAGAGGTCAGCCCAGATGACCTCCGGTTTATCTTGTATATTGATTAAAAATTCCTGGGTTAGTCTTAGTCAGCATAGTTTCAAGTATGTAATATTTCATGCAAGGAAATTAGACTCCAGATTCTTATGTGTAAACATCCCTGGATCTCCCCCTTTTGGCCAGGTCAGAGGTCAGCCATACACGTAATTAATAACTCCTCTCTTGAAGAGTGTATGGTGAATGTCAAACAAGCTTATTGAAATATTTCTTGAGTGTTTGTACACTTTTGGTGGGTAGCAACAGCAGATCTCCCCCTCCCCCCTGTGGGGGTTGTATATAGAGGGCCTGTAGGAACATAGGAAGAGCAGAGTGCGGTACACCGGGATCGAGAGCGGGTCTGTGAAGAACATCTCAGCCCGGGAGAGACAGAGGTCTTAAGGTAATGTGTGTGATCTCTGAGGTTTTGTTCCATGTCCAAATTTCTTAACTTTTTGCCAGTGTTAGAGTAGCATTTATAAGTGGTGATTGACATAATTTGGTCTCAATAAACTTACGTGAAATTTCCCGTCTGTGTCAATTGTTGAATCCTCTTAGCCTTTTGGATATAGTGGCTGACAATCGTTTTCATAATTAATGACAGTCATAGAAGTACTCTCCAAGTCAAGCAATGTTTCTTGCCTCGTTGCTTGATATAGTTTCAATGGTCAAAGGCAGATGGTGGCAGCGTATTTAATCTCTGTGTTAGCATTTCCTTATTGGCAGTGTACCTTTGGTCCCGGTGTAACCATCATATGTCAGCTCATAACAGTGTTATCAAGTGCAACCGATGAGGAAGTGTTACTCAGGATAAGTAGTGTTTACATTAGTAACCATTTTTTTGTGTTCCATTATAGTGGTACACTTTAGGGCGGTGTTACAATAGAGTGGTGTTACAGTGTGTGTGTGTGTGTGTGTGTGTGTGTGTGTGTGTGTGTGTGTGTGTGTGTGTGTGTGTGTGTGTGTGTGTGTGTGTGTGTGTGTGTTGTTGTTGAGCTCGCTGGAAGTCAGCAGTGTGTAAGATAGCATTCCCTGATGTCTGTTCCACAGCGTGTTGATGTCCACTTTCTTTACAGCCTCGAATGGCTGTCACTTGTGTGTGATTATCTTTCATGTAGCAACTGTCCAACTTATGAAAGCTGTGAATGTCTAGTTATTCTATGCCTGTTTCCTCTCTGTCCGTCTCTCTGTCTCTCTCTCTCTCTCTCTCTCTCTCTCTCTCTCTCTCTCTCTCTCTCTCTCTCTCTCTCTCTCTCTCTCTCTCTCTCTCTCTCTCTCTCTCTCTCTCTCTCTCTCTGTCTCTCTCTCTCTCTCTCTCTCTCTCTCTCTCTCTCTCTCTCTCTCTCTCTCTCTCTCTCTCTCTCTCTCTCTCTCTCTCTCTCTCTCTCTCTCTCTCTCTCTCTCTCTCTCTCTCTCTCTCTCTCTCTCTCTCTCTCTCTCTCTCTCTCTCTCTCTCACCTGGAAGGGAGGGAGAGGCTCTGAAGGCGTCACTTCTCCTGGTTCATCGCTAAGAGAAAGCTTCAAAGCCTTTTCCAGCATCTCCTTCTCTCTCGCCCTCTCCAGTTCCAGCCGCTCCTTCTCCTCTTTAGATTCTGCCATCGCCCTTTCCATGTCCCTCGTCTCTGCATCCATTCCTTCCTGGAGCGCTTGGTGTTCTTCCAGGGACTTCCTGGAAGAGAGATTCTGATGTTCAATGGCTGTCCTAAGAACAGGGGGAGATTACGAAGACAGACAGATTCTTAGAACAGGCAAGATCCGAGATCGTTCCAGGTCTCTAAGAGATGAAGGAAAAGGCTTTGCATGTGTTGAGAGAATTGTTGCAAGTGGTTTCTTGAGTCTTGGGAATGTTGGTCTTGTATTTGGTATTCAATAGAAGGAATATATACTTAATACTATCGAACTCTGGAAGGTTATTAAGGCCTATTAAACTCTGGATGGTTAATAGGGCCTCTATATCAACCTCTGAAGGGTTATTAATATCTATGAACCTCTGGAGGGTTATTAAGACCTATGGCCTTAATAACTGGAGGGTTACTAAGACCTATTAACCTCTGGTGGGTTGTTAGGGTCTATCAACCTCTGGAGGGTTATTCAGGCCCATCAACCTCTGGAGGGTTATTAAGACCACCACAACAGTATACTGACCAACCAGCATGTATACTTTAATCCTGGACATTGTCCAGGACTTAAGTCTATTCTCAGTATATAAACACCACGAAGCTGGGGTATACTTCTCAGTTTATATACACCCAGAAGCTGGTACTACACCTCTCAGTGTATCTTCCCCAGTTTCTAGTTCTTTGTCTTCTTTACATAAAGAAATATACCATACTAAATGAGTTAAAACAAGGGTGCAAATAAGAGGCAGCCTACTGATGACGTGACAGAGGATTAAGTAAGAGAATCAGAGGCTTCAACCGGCATATACGAGAAGGGCATTCTCCTTTTTTAAACATTATTTTTTTTTCAAGAAAAAAACAATTCCCCAGTTTGAAAAGTTTTGCTGATTTTTTTCCCAGAGATGAAACTGGAAACTTTTCAAGAATTTTACCACCAAAAAACGTAACCAAAAATGAGGAAGATTTCAAACAAAAGATGAGATGAAAATATTAAATATATATATACGAACCAATCAAAACAAATTACGGATGTATATATATATATATATATATATATATATATATATATATATATATATATATATATATATATATATATATATATATATATATATATATATATATATATATATATATATATATATATTATTAAATATGACCGAAAAAGTAAGATTAATAATTCTAACACGAATTTTCTCAATCTTTCGTACGTTTCTTTTCACTGTTGGAGGTAAATCAAAAATCAATTCTCCAAAATTCATTTTCATTTCTAGTCTGACGCGACACGAGCGCGTTTCGTAAAACTTATTACATTTTCAAAGACTTTAGTTTACAAATACACAACTGAATAGAACTTACACACCTCCGACTTTGTTTATATATGCAAACACTACGGAGGAAAGGGTCCTGAAAGATATTGTTAATAGAAACGTTATCCCTACAGACAAAAATCAGAGGATACAACTGACGATTTACTATAAAACCAGAAAAACGGCCAACCTACTCATGAGAAACTCTCCAGACACAAAACAGAACGCTTTAAAAGAGACTAACGTCGTCTATGCCTTCAAATGCCCTCTTGGGGACTGTAAGCTCCAAAAAAACCAGTATATAGGCAAGACAACAACATCTCTTTCTAGGCGTTTAACGATGCATAAGCAACAGGGCTCCATTAAGGAACATATAATCTCTTCCCACAACCAAACCATCGCCAGAGAAATCCTAGTAAACAACACAGAAATCATCGATAGATACAGCGATAGCAGGCGGCTTGACGTTTGCGAGGCACTACACATCAAGAAGTCAACACCAGCAATCAACAGCCAATTAATGCACAACTATATTCTACCCACCTCAAGACTCCGCTCCAATATAGAAGCATCAAGAAATATGGACCAATAGGCTTTCTACAAACACTTCTATTCAATACCCATTGTTTCGTGTTCTGTCTTGTGTTGATGAAATTAATACCCTATTAATGCCCCCTCACTCCATCCTCCTCTCTCAAATGCAGATATAAACAAAGTCGGAAGTGCGTAAGTTCTATTCAGTTGTGTATTTGTAAACTAAAGTCTTTGAAAATGTAATAAGTTTTACGAAACGCGCTCGTGTCGCGTCAGACTAGAAATAAAAATGAATTTTGGAGAATTGATTTTTGATTTACCTCCAACAGTGAAAAGAAATGTACGAAAGATTGAGAAAATTCGTGTTAGAATTATTAATCTTACTTTTTCGGTCATATTTAATAATATATGTCTACAGGAAAGACTGCTACCAAAATATACTAATATATATATATATATATATATATATATATATATATATATATATATATATATATATATATATATATATATATATAACTATATTATATATATATATATATATATATATATATATATATATATATATATTCAGCTGAATATATATATTCAGTTGCATATTGTCCTGGGGACCATTCAGGCTTGTTCGCATATATATATATATATATATATATATATATATATATATATATATATATATATATATATATATATATATCCTATTAAACATACAAATTACATAAAAAAATATGTAGAATATTTTTTGGGGCGAGATAAAGTTGTAAACACAAACTTACTTTGCAATTTGCTCCAACACTTGCTGGTCTTCCTTGGTGAGGTCACAGGTGCTTGGCGATGCACCACAAGGCATGGAAAGAGAGACAGTAAGCCTTGTGATGGTGGCACTCAGGTGAGGGGTGGCACTCAGGTGAGGGGGGGTGACAGTCCAGGTGGTGGGTGACACTCAGGTGAGCTGGGGTGACAGTCCAGGTGGTGGGTGACACTCAGGTGAGGGTGGGGGTGACAGTCCAGGTGGTGGGTGACACTCAGGTGAGCTGGGGTGACAGTCCAGGTGGTGGGTGACACTCAGGTGAGGGTGGGTGACAGTCCAGGTGGTGGGTGACAGTCCAGGTGGTGGGTGGCACTCAGGTGAGCTGGGGTGACAGTCCAGGTGGTGGGTGACACTCAGATGAGCTGGGGTGACAGTCCAGGTGGTGGGTGACACTCAGGTGAGGGTGGGGGTGACAGTCCAGGTGGTGGGTGACACTCAGGTGAGGGTAGGGGTGACAGTCCAGGTGGGGGGTGACACTCAGGTGAGCTGGGGTGACAGTCCAGGTGGTGGGTGGCACTCAGGTGAGCTGGGGTGACAGTCCAGGTGGTGGGTGACACTCAGGTGAGGGTGGGGATGACACCCAGGTGAGGGTGGAGAGAGAGAGAGAGACAATCCAGGGAAAAGCGTGTGACAATCAGATGAAGGGAAAACAACACTCCAGAGGGGCTTGATAAGGAGTGACAATCAGATACAATTTGAGAAGAGGAAGATAGACCAGGGTGTTGGGCCACTCAGATACGAGAGACAGTCACACGACCCTCGCCAGCTGAGGTGAAGGGTGGTGGGAGGACAGATGGGCAGTTCAGAGAGTACAACATTCAGGTGTGGGAGATATAGCTACCCTCGGGGAGGGGGGGGGAGGGGGGGGGTAATTACAACCTGCCATCGTAAACACCTACAAAATCCAACATAAACTTACCATGTACTAACTTACAAGTCTCAAAGACATTAGGTTCTAAACACTCTTCTTGCGAAGATTTAAAACCAGAAAGTTTATATAATATTAATCTTTCCTTGACGAATTTTTCAATATTTTATAAGTAATTTTATATATTTTCATATAAGTAAAATAGTTATTATTTAATACATACGTTAAACCCAACGTACATCCTTATAGTTTCAAATAGTCAGCTATAAAGCCATAAGCCTCCACCAATTCACCGTACATCCTTATAGTTTCAAATAGTCAGCTATAAAGCCATAAGCCTCCACCAATTCACCGTACATCCTTATAGTTTCAAATAGTCAGCTATAAAGCCATAAGCCTCCACCAATTTAAACACAAAGTATAACAATTTTCATTATAATGATCGCCTAGTTTATAATGACCTAAATTGTCAACGCAAGGTAACCGCAAGGTAACAACTCTTCCCTTTGGCTTAACAAAGCCAAAGGGAAGTCAACCAAAGACTTTTCTTAGTCTTTTTAATGAAAACCTTTGGCTTAACTCCTTCCTTCCCCAGCTTAACATCTTCCTATCTCATCCTATAAAATTTTCCTCTATTGGAGCCAAAACAACATGGAAGCAGAAAGTAATGCTTCACTTCCTTTCAATGTTATGAAGCATATAATTAAGTCACTGCTTGAAACCTCGGTTCAGCAAATAGGGTAAAAAAAAAGAATGCTCTATAATAAAGAAAACTGAGAACAAGACGTTATGTAGAGGGGGAGACTACTCCAGACCAACGAGCTGACTATATGCGTGAATCCACGATAGACCTTGGGCAACGTATCACGTGAGATCGATAACACCAGCCAGAGTTCATACAGAAATCACAATAACGTGATATACGCATCAATGAGAATATTGATCAGTGGTAGAGTATGCGGTGCCCGTCAGCCTCAAAGCCCCAGTGGATTACCACTAGCCAGAGTGGTATACCACTAGCCAGAGTGGTATACCACTAGTCAGAGTGGTATACCACTAGTCAGAGTGGTATACCACTAGTCAGAGTGGTATACCACTAGCCAGAGTGGTATACCACTAGCCAGAGTGGTATACCACTAGCCAGAGTGGTATACCACTAGTCAGAGTTGTATACCACTAGTCAGAGTGGTATACCACTAGTCAGAGTGGTATACCACTAGTCAGAGTGGTATACCACTAGCCAGAGTGGTATACCACTAGCCAGAGTGGTATACCACTAGTCAGAGTTGTATACCACTAGTCAGAGTGGTATACCACTAGTCAGTGGTATACCACTAGTCAGAGTGGTATACCACTAGTCAGAGTGGTATACCACTAGTCAGAGTGGTATACCACTAGTCAGAGTGGTATACCACTAGCCAGAGTGGTATACCACTAGTCAGAGTGGTATACCACTAGTCAGAGTGGTATACCACTAGTCAGAGTGGTATACCACTAGTCAGAGTGGTATACCACTAGTCAGAGTGGTATACCACTAGTCAGAGTGGTATATACCACTATCCAGAGTGGTATTTTAGATGGCTGCCAAGTCATCAGTCTAACACAATATCAATGAATGCACACGTTAACTAATCTAAATACCAAACGCTGTCCTTAACCAACTCGGCCATAGAACAAAAACTATTTAACCCGGGACTCAATTGATTCCCCTGAGGGAGCCTAGAGGTTGGTGCCACAACTAGATTTTATGAGTAGCCCGCCGACACTCTGGCTCATTGATATACTCGCCATTGCGAGTTCTCTGTAGCCTAAAGAGCAGGAGCACTTTGCGCCAAACTGCATTACCCACACGCCAGAGTGTTATCTTCTTGAGGTTATCTTGAGATGATTTCGGGGCTTTTTAGTGTCCCCGCGGCCCGGTCCTCGACCAGGCCTCCACCCCCAGGAAGCAGCCCGTGACAGCTGACTAACTCCCAGGTACCTATTTACTGCTAGGTAACAGGGGCATTCAGGGTGAAAGAAACTTTGCCTATTTGTTTCTGCCTCGTGCGGGAATCGAACCCGCGCCACAGAATTACAAGTCCTGCGCGCTATCCACCAGGCTACGAGGCCCCCTTGGCAAGTGTAGTGTGTAGGCAAGCTACTCAAGAAACTTGGTTGTTGACACCAGCTGGTGCCTCCAGACTCCCTCAGTAGAGTTCAGGGTTGAATAGCTTTCGTCCCATCATGGCTGAGTGGGTTACAACATGTGTCTGGGAGTCATTACAAAGGCTACACAGTCATCATATGGCTCCAAATGCCTTTATCATTGATACATGACACTCTTGTAGTTTCTTTGTTATTTCAGGCATATTGTATGCATACGTAAGAAGGGGAACACCACCTTTTGGAGTCAGTAAGTTGTTGTGGCGGTCCTAATAACCGTCCAGAAGTTGATAGGCTTCTTAAGCCCAAAAGACTTATAGCACGTATTTATATATAACATATTTACCCAACTATATATGAACTGAGCTACACAGATTAATCATATATATATATATATATATATATATATATATATATATATATATATATATATATATATATATATATATATATATATATATATCCCAGAAAAGTCGAGAATGAAGCCAACTGCGCTACGAGATCCTAATACTCCCATTAAATGTCGATTTAGCGCAATACAGTTAATGTTAATTACCTTAGAACAGGTGACTTATTAGCAATGTTAACCCTTTATAAGTGAAGTATTTTTCAATAACATAATTTAACCCCAAATGTAAACACATTATAAACAAGGTGATTGAACTACTTAAACTGATAAGTTTTAAGCAAAGCAAGATGACCTTTTGAACAAGATAAGTTGACCAATTAAACAATAGTTAACTATTTAGATTTGGAAATGGATTTTGATCTGTGAGTAAGTTTAATGACCTGATTTGGCTTGATTATCTGTGATATGTTACTAGTTATATGACCTTTGACCTGTAATTTAATGACTATCGCCCTTTGACATGGTGATCTGTAACTGATGACCTCTGACCTGCAACAAGATAACCTCTGACCTGCAACAAGATGACCTGTGACCTGCAACAGGATAACCTCTGACCTGCAACAGGATAACCTCTGACCTGCAACAAGATGACCTGTGACCTGCAACAAGATGACCTCTGACCTGCAACAGGATAACCGCTGACCTGCAACAAGATGACCTCTGACCTGCAACAGGATAACCTCTGACCTGCAACAAGATGACCTCTGACCTGCAACAGGATAACCTCTGACCTGCAACAAGATGACCTCTGACCTGTGACTTGCAACAAGATGACCTGTGACCTGTGACTTGCAACAGGATGACCTCTGACCTGTGACTTACTTGATGACCTGCTCGAGGACCTCCTGCTCGCCCTGTGGCAGGTCGTCACAGGGCATGAAGGACTCTGGGATGATGCCGTAGCGCTGCTGCATGATCTCCAGCGCTTGCAACTGCAGCTCAATGTTCTTCTGAATCATCATCCGCTTGAAGATCTCGTAGTCGTCCGCAGCCCATACTTGCTCAAAGAGTGTCTGGGGAGAGTAGACTATAGTCAGTACTGCTGCTCCTCTACTACTTCTACTATCAGTTATCCCCTGATAAAGGCATAAGTTATCCCCTGATAAAGGCATAAGTTATCCCCTGATAAAGGCATAAGTTATCCCCTGATAAAGGCATAAGTTATCCCCTGATAAAGGCATAAGTTATCCCCTGATAAAGGCATAAGTTATCCCCTGATAAAGGCATAAGTTATCCCCTGATAAAGGCATAAGTTATCCCCGACAAAGATATCACCAGGAGAAGAGGGCCAGACAGGCCCACTCCTCAAGGTCCACTAACCTGGTGGAACGGGGTGTTGATGGCCGCCTTCCCGCAGGCTTCCTCGAACTGCTCCGGGTTGATGCCCATATCTTCCATGTAAGAGCCGAGCATGAAGTCAACCAGGGTCTTGTATTCCTCGTGGATCTTATGGTGGGCGTCGTCGTCCTGGCCGTCTGCCTCGAAGACTGTTCAGAGGTTTGAAATCAGTTTAGTTTAGGTTCGTAATGTTAGGAGCTGATGCTCATATGTCAATAAGGTATGTGATGTTTACATTCATGGCACTTATACCCGGTCTGACGTCACTAGGTTGTCAATAGAGGCTATGAAATCGAACGTGTGTTTACCCTTCCCGCTTAATTAGTCTGCCTCGAGGACTGTTTAGAGAGAGAAGTTAGAATTGAGATCACTTTAGTTTAGGTTCGTAATGTTAAGAGCTGATGCTCATTTGTCTATAAGGTATGTGATGTTTACATTCATGGCACTTATACCCGGTGTGACGTCACTGGGTTGTTGACCAGACCACACACTAGAAATTGAAGGGACGACGACGTTTCGGTCCGTCCTGGACCATTCTCAAGTCGATTGTGACCTGGACCATTCTCACAATCGACTTGAGAATGGTCCAGGACGGACCGAAACGTCGTCGTCCCTTCAATTTCTAGTGTGTGGTCTGGTCAACATACTTCAGCCACGTTATTGTGACTCATCGCCTGTCACTGGGTTGTCAACAAACACCATATGTGGATCAGACGCGTGTTTTCGGGCCTCTCGAACGCTACGTCATATTTTGACGCATAAGTCCCATCAGGCAAAACAAAAAATATGATTTAAAAATCACAGCTGGTCGCAAACTTGATGTGATGTTCCGTTTTCTATTCGTGGCTCCTTGGTTAGACTAGATTCAGAAAACTTAGTACATCATTTCAGTGACGTTGTGAGCGCTGAAGAGGACGGGTTGGGATATCATTTAGAGGTAGGAAAGACCTGGGTAAATACTAGTTTGGTGAGGGTTGTGGCTTTATGGAACAGAACATTGGGGCTGGGGATTGTCAGCCCCAATGAACTCAATATATAGGCAAGACAACAACGTCTCTTTCTCTAGAAGTTAATATACCAGATGTGGGAGCCTCCTGATTGTTTCAAGCGTTGACTAGACATATATATGAATGAGTTTTCGGTAGATATATATTGGAGCTGTCTCGTATAGGTCAATTCCATACGCCATAAATATAAAACCGAAACTGAAAAATAGTACAGACGTTTGCAACAAGAATGGTGCCAGAGCTGAAGGGGTTAAGCTACGAAGACAGACTAATGGAACTAAATCTCACAGCCCCTAGAGGATAGCAGGAGGAGAGGGGGATATGTTCCCAATATACAAGATACTGAGAGGCAATAGACACGGTCCTCAAGGATTGTGGACCGTGTCAGACTGAGAGAACAAGCAGGACAACAGGACACAGCCGGGGAGCCGGTCGGCCGAGCGGACAGCACGCGGGACTTGTGATCCTGTGGTCTTGGGTTCGATCCCAGGCGCCGACGAGAAACAATGGGCAGAGTTTCTTTCACCCTATGCCTCTGTTACCTAGCAGTAAAATAGGTACCTGGGTGTTAGACAGCTGTCACGGGCTGCTTCCTGGGGGTGGAGGTCTGGTCGAGGACCGGGCCGCGGGGACACTAAAAGCCCCGAAATCATCTCAAGATAACCTCAAGATAACAGTTGGGAGCTGGGAACACACAGGTCGAAGGTAAGTAAGGAAATACTTGTACTGTATACAGGTGGAATGCCCTGAAAGAGGAAGTTGTGGGAGCCGCCTCCATCCACAACTCTAAGACCAGATTCGACCAAGAATTTGAAGGTCAGAATAGTTGGGTTGTAAGGATGGTAGGCTGGGGGCCAGGAGCTGCACCTCCCTCACCTACCCCCACAAGACTATTGATCACCTTCTGGTAGATACTTGACTCAGCGGTCTGTTGTGGTCGTCTCACTGTCAGTTGTCTGGCTCACAGTGTTGCCAACACCCCCGTGCACAGAGCAGTATTGCCATCACCTGAATCACAGACTCAATTGGCAACGCTGCCAAGACAACGCCGTCAGTGTTGCCAACAGTCAAGGGACTGACATTGTCCTACACCTGACTGTAGGCCCGGTGTTCCACTACGATATTCACCACATGTATACACAGTATGTATACACACAGTATACATACACACAGTATACATACACACAGTATACATACACACAGTATACATACACACAGTATACATACACACAGTATACATACACACAGTATACATACACACAGTATACATACACACAGTATGTGTAGACAGTGTTTGCACAAATCATTAACAACAGGTCGATATAGTGAGGGGGGCGGACGGTGGTCTTACTCAAGCGCTAGTGAGTCGTGTCAAGAAGAGTGAGCGGTAGATGAGGTTTGAGCTGTAGATGAAGTTTGAGCAGTAGATGAGGTTCAAGCAGTAGATAAGGTTTGAGCGGTAGATAAGGTTTGAGTGGTAGATAAGGTTCTGGGGTGGTCATGAGGAAGATATAAGGTGTATTAAATTGTATGGTGGCTGTTGATAGCAGGTTTGAGTGCTTAGTGTGTCTCAAGGTTTGAGTGCTTAGTGTGTCTCAAGGTTTGAGTGCTTAGTGTGTCTCAAGGTTTGAGTGCTTAGTGTGTCTCAAGGTTTGAGTGCTTAGTGTGTCTCAAGGTTTGAGTGCTTAGTGTGTCTCAAGGTTTGAGTGCTTAGTGTGTCTCAAGGTTTGAGTGCTTAGTGTGTCTCAAGGTTTGAGTGCTTAGTGTGTCTCAAGGTTTGAGTGCTTAGTGTGTCTCAAGGTTTGAGTGCTTAGTGTGTCTCAAGGTTTGAGTGCTTAGTGTGTCTCAAGGTTTGAGTGCTTAGTGTGTCTCAAGGTTTGAGTGCTTAGTGTGTCTCAAGGTTTGAGTGCTTAGTGTGTCTCAAGGTTTGAGTGCTTAGTGTGTAGTACTTGGGCTATGTCAAAACTCTATTTCTTGTCTCTTTCGATTATTTCAGAGTTGTTGGTGAGAATATCTCAAGCGATGGTCAGACTGGGTGTAGAAACAGAGTGATCTTTCATAGAGGCTCGTTGTTTGTGCATTATCACACACCTTGATGGAGATGTGGTTGTCTTGTCTATATATTGAGATCATTAGGACTGACCGTTCCAAAGAATTTAGGGGAATGGACGACATTAGTCTCTTTCGTGTGGGTGAGTTCTTCACGAGTAAGTTAGTTGTCTTCCTCATGTAATAAATGGTGAACTGTATCTCTGAGTTTGTGTTCTTCCGGGAAACCTTGTTTCTGTTTTGTATACCTGGTTGATACCTGGTTGATGGGGTTCTGGGAGTTCTTCTACTCCCCAAGCCCGGCCCGAGGCCAGGCTTGACTTGTGAGAGTTTGGTCCACCAGGCTGTTGCTTGGAGCGGCCCGCAGGCCCACATACCCACCACAGCCCGGTTGGTCCGGCACTCCTTGGAGGAAAGAATCTAGTTTCCTCTTGAAGATGTCCACGGTTGTTCCTGTAATATTTCTGATGCCCGCTGGTAGGACGTTGAACAACCGCGGACCTCTGATGTTCATACAGTGTTCTCTGATTGTGCCTATGGCACCTCTGCTCTTCACTGGTTCTATTCTGCATTTTCTTCCATGTCGTTCACTCCAGTACGTTGTTATTTTACTGTGCAGATTAGGGACCTGTCCCTCCAGTATTTTCCATGTGTGTATATTATTTGGTATCCCTCTCGTCTCCTTTCTAGTGAGTACATTTGGAGAGCTTTGAGACGATCCCAATAATTTAGGTGTTTTATCTCGTCTATGCGTGCCGTATATGTTCTCTGTATTCCCTCTATTTCAGCAATCTCTCCTGCTCTGAAGGGGGAAGTGAGTACTGAGAAGTACTCAAGACGGGATAACACAAGTGCCTTGAAGAGTACAACCATTGTGATGGGATCCCGGGAGTGGAAGGTTCTAGTAATCCATCCTATCATTTTTCTGGCTGACGCAATACTTGCTTGGTTATGCTCCCTAAACGTTAGGTCGTCGGACATCATTATTCCCAAATCCTTGACATGCTGTTTTCCTACTATGGGCAGATTCGATTGTGTTTTGTACCCTGTATTATATTTAAGATCCTCATTTTTGGCGCATCTGAATACCTGGAATTTATCACCGTTAAACATCATGTTATTTTCTGCTGCCCAATCGAAAACTTTGTTAATACCTGCTTGTAGTTTTTCAATGTCTTCAGCAGAGGTAATTTTCATGTTGCTTTTTGTATCATCTGCAACGGATGACACGAAACTGTGACTTGTGTTTTTCTCTATATCTGATATGAGAATAAGGTAAAGCAGTGGTGCAAGGACTGTACCTTGAGGTACAGAGCTTTTAACTGCGCTCGGACTCAATTTTACTTGATTTACTGTTACTCTTTGTGTTCTGTTCGACAGGAAATTGAGTATCCAGCGTCCTACTTTACCAATTATACCCATTGACCTCATTTTGTGTGCAATCACTCCATGGTCACATTTGTCGAACGCCTTTGCAAAATCTGTGTATACAACATCTGCATTATGTTTTTTCCTCTAATGCCTCAGTGATTTTGTCAACCTGTCCTCCACAACCTGTCCTCCACAACCTGTCCTCCAACAACGTGTCCTACAACAACCTGTTCTCCTACAACCTGTCCTCCTACAACCTGTCCTCCTACAACCTGGCCTCCTACAACCTGTCCTCCTACAACCTGTCCTCCACAACCTGTCCTCCAACAACGTGTCCTACAACAACCTGTTCTCCTACAACCTGTCCTCCTACAACCTGTCCTCCTACAACCTGTCCTCCTACAACCTGTCCTCCTACAACCTGTCCTCCTACAACCTGTCCTCCTACAACCTGTCCTCCTACAACCTGTCCTCCTACAACCTGTCCTCCTACAACCTGTCCTCCTACAACCTGTCCTCCTATAACCTGTCCTACAACCTGTCCTCCTACAACCTGTCCTCCTACAACCTGGCCTCCTACAACCTGTCCTCCTACAACCTGTCCTCCTATAACCTGTCCTACAACCTGTCCTCCTACAACCTGTCCTCCTACAACCTGTCCTCCTACAACCTGTCCTCCTACAACCTGTCCTCCTACAACCTGTCCTCCTACAACCTGTCCT